TATATATATATATATATAGGGTGTATCAGAGTTAGCGCAGGGGCCTTTTTATTTATCGAATTTGCAATTGACATTACTTCTCATCAATTAAATTGAACTCAATTTAAGAATACGACAATAATTAATATAGAAATTTCACGAAACTTTGTAATACTCGTTCTGCATCATTGAGCAATACGTCTGTAGTTTGCGTGCCCGATCTCTTAGTTGCGCCGCTCTTGATGGCGCGAATTTCATGCCCTGTGGTTGGTTATTTTCAAATACTCACCGTTTGAAAACTATTGATGCTTTAATATTTTACTATTAACATTTTCGATTTATTTTTTCATGAGGAATATGTACGTGCCAGCTCCTGCGCTAAATTCTGATACCCTGTATATGGATCATTTCACGTCAAATCTATCATCCTCCTACCCAAAATTGTACGCAACCAAATGTAATTTATAGGGTATCAAAATTTAGATTGAAGCTTCTATTTTTCGATGCCATGTGTGGTGATTTTGAAAAATATCAATAGTAACCTTGATTTTATTAAATAGAAAAATAATGTTTTTCATTGTTCCAATCTTCATTATTTTTTTGAAATTAAGATACAATAGTTATTATCAGCAATTTTGAACAGGATTAAGACTGTTTCTGGTTTACTTCCCAAAGCCCGCATTACTTTTTCTTGGTTTTCTAATTTTTTAATTTTTTTTAACTTTTATTTTTTTGTAACTTTTTTGGTAATTTTTATTCTTTTATTAAAAATTTTTTTTTATTTTTGTGTTATCTAATATAATTCTTTATTATATGACAGTCTTAACTCTGTTCAAATGCAGAAAGCTTTTTCACGACAAACCGTTAAAGCTTGATATTGACAAATGGTATAATGCGATATATAATTAATATTATAGAAATATCGTGTTAAGAAGAGAAAATAGCACGGTCTTAAAAATAATGTCATTACTTACAACTCTCAGAAGTGAATACCAATAAAAATTAAATGTTATTTGCAGAAAGAATACGATTATGACGAAAAATGGCAATTTTGCTCTTTTTGACTACTTTTCGCGCAACCCAAATATTATTGGTTAATTTTATTTTCAGATTTGGATTTAGCATACAAAATTGCATTGAAAATAACTATATTGTACCTTATTTCCAAAAAAATAGTGAAGATTGGAACAATGAAAAACATTACTTTTCTATTTAACAGATAAAATCATACTTGATGTTTTTCAAAATCGCCACATAGCATCGAAAAATAGAAGCTTCAACCTAAATTTTGATTCCTTATAAGTTACATTTGATTGATACAATTTTGGGCAGAGGAGTGACAGAGTTGACATGGAATAATCTATATATAGTAGTGTTTTATTGATTTAATGCGACAATCGTAAAAAATTTTTTTATTTTTTTGTAGATTTGCTGACAATATCGAAAATACGTATTCTATAATGATGTTAGCATTGATATTTCATTTTGGTGTTGTATTTTGCCTAAGCGGTTTTTTATTTACTATTGTAAGATTCAGTAAAATAAAAATATTTCGTAACAGACGTATGCTTCTTTAGGCTTTTCTATAATTTATGTATTTCAGACATATACAGACAAAAATGTAGATAAAATTGATATTGCGCAAGCATATTTCTCATTATTAATGATTATTATTTTATTAATGAATACTTTTCTCTATTGTGGAGCAGGAGAACTTATAACAGAACAAGTAAGTTATATGTATAATGTGCATAAATAGTGTATATAAATAAATTTATTATATTTCATGCTTGGATCAAATAATTTTCATGTATATCTGTATATCTAACAAGTATTTTTTTGCTTATATTGTTATAATGCTATTTATTATCAAATTTGCTATCACATTAGTAAGAAAAACTATTAATAATTTTTTTGTTATATATTGGGTTGTCCGGAAAGTTCGTGCCGATGTTGAAGGAAAATTGAAACACAGAAGATTTAAATTTTAGTATACATTTATTAAATTATATAGGTTAATCAGCACGAACTTTCCGGACAATCCAATATATTGTTATATATATTCATATGCAAATTAAATGTTCAGTTCTGAATAAAAGTTAAACAGAATGCAAATTCATTCGAATTTCATTGTATAACATGTTTTTGTTTCTAATTTTTTTATTTTTACAAAAAGTAAGAGATTAATTAAATTTCAATCAATTATTACTAATACTTTTTGAAATAATCCTCATTGACATTAATATATTTTCTCATACAAATTTAAGAGCAATGCTGTATATCGTGCGATATGCGATCTTGAATGGTACAAGTTGAAATCAAGTAAGGCAAGAAATCTTATTTTGTTAATGATACGAGCTAAATATCCTTTATATATCACTGCAGGAAAGATTTTTCCACTCACAATGGCTACTTTTTGCAATGTAAGATTATTTATAATTTTGTCGTTTTAGTTTTATCCCTTTTCTGTTTAATGAAATGTGTTTTACTTTCTTTGTAACCTCTCT